GACCCCACGTGCTTTAGTGCTTGCTGGGACTGCAAGTGTCCGGAGAGCCTCCCTCCTCTGTGTGCGTAGCCAGCTGGCCTAAAAGCCTGTTTTTGTGTCACCTTCCCAACTGCAGGATACTCCAGCAAGAGAGTCCAGAGTCCCAGCAGCAAGAGCAATGACACGCTCAGCGGGATTTCCTCCATTGAGCCCAGCAAACATTCCAGCTCATCCCACAGCCTCGCCTCGGTAAGGAGCCTTCCTGGATGTGCTGGGGGAAACAGAGCTGGGAGGTGTGGGTGTATCTACTTAAACAGGATCGCTGCGTCGTTTGGTGATCATAGACCATAATTAGAGGGCAAGTTCCAATAATAACTTTGTAGTGACTGTCTGGAATGAGGATTCAGGCACTCCTGCCTCTATATGGGCCATTCATGGGTTGGTCGGCATGGAGCTATAGCTGGAGATCACAGTGGGTATTTCATGGGGTGTTCTGGGCTATCTACCAGAGGCAGAGCGCAAACTTTGTGGGTCTTGCTCTGGATTGGAAGTGAGTAACTTAGGCACTGTCACTGGTGTAGATGCTCCAGGCCAGCAGGGAAGCTCTAAAGCTGCTTAGAATTGCTAAAAACTGTTTTTCAAAATCAAGTTAACTACCAAAACCAGCTAGCTCTGTTCAGGAAATGGAGCCATGTGAGAACATAGCCTAGCGTTTTTTTCTACCTCCAAAGCCAAGACCAACCTATAAATACAGGTATTTCAGGCTTGGCTAAGCCAGAGAAGCCATCACTACTTACATCCACCTCTCTGGGACCAAAGGCAGAAGCACTGGGGAGTCTTTATGGCTTTAATCCCATTGCTCAAAGCCTTTCCTTTTCCACTGGAGCAGCAGTAAAAGCTGCAGGAACGAGTCTTAGTTTCTGTGTAAAGCGCTAGGAACGAGTCTTAGTTTCTGGTAAAGCACTGGCAATGAGCCTTAGTTTCTGTGTAAAGCACTAGGAATGAGTCTTAGTTTCTGTGTAAAGCACTAGGAATGAGTCTTAGTTTCTGTGTAAAGCACTAGGAATGAGTCTTAGTTTCTGTGTAAAGCACTAGGAATGAGTCTTAGTTTCTGTGTAAAGCACTAGGAATGAGTCTTAGTTTCTGTGTAAAGCACTAGGAACGAGTCCAAATCCACCTGGTGCTGCCTGTGGCGGGTCTCCAGCAGGCGGCAGTGCCG